ATGTCTGCACACGCATCAATATCATCATGGACTCATACGAACCGTATAAGGTATATTTAATACTCAATTCTCAGCCTTATAGAGAGAGTATGATGAATTATTGCAACGACACTAAAGATGTTTGATACTTTCTTTGATTGATTACTTCATATCAAATATTTAAAACATAAACGGTTGAACTTTAAACATGAAAATACAATTACCTGAATTTTATCTAGAGACTGGCGAACCTGAAATTCTGTTTTCGTGGGATGAAATCAAATGGATTCGACCGTTACGTCACTAAGTTAAAAGAAAGTCCTGTAAGTGTTCTTCTTGTCTTATTTCATGATTATGCAATATTTTCATTGATTACAGTCTGTTACCAAGATGTACATACCGCCAAAGAATATTAGTCAGCAAGAAATACTTCGCCTTGCTGAAGCACTGATTGATAATCAAGTGAAACACATTCTATACTTTTTATTAAGCATAGGTTGTTTTCTTTCTATTAAATAAAGACACTGGTAACATTGGCAATTTCGTACAATGAAAGCTGTAATCAAGGAGTAAAGTATTTGGCAGAGGCATTATTATTCAATAAAGTATATCATAACATCAACTGATTTCTCAACTATTTGATATTGTCGTTTATTACAGACACTTTCGAAAATGATACTTATATGCAATCAAATTGATAATGATGGAGCGAAATATTTGGCTGAAATGTTGAAAGAAAACCAAGTAAGACAACGTTTTTATTTTAACTTGCATACTTTGATAATATAGTTTATCGTAGACACTTACAACATTGGATCTTACGAATAACAAAATTGATTTTGAAGGAGTCAGTTACTTTTGTGAAGCATTGGGAACAAATGAGGTAAAATATATTCTTTATTATTCATTTCATACATATTCTACACTCATCGATCACAGACACTCACAAAATTAAGTCTTCAAACTAATCATGTTGGTAATCTAGGAGCACAGTATCTAGCTGAAATGTTATTAATGAATCAGGTGAAATTGATATCTTCTTCATTCATTAAGTAATTAAGTTTGTCACTGATAATAGACACTAACCGAATTGAATCTCAATACAAATGAAATTGGCGACGATGGAGCACAAAATCTTGCAGAAGCATTAAAGGTTAACAGGGTACATCATATTCTTTGTCTATCGCATGATAAGTGATATCTCTATTGATTATAGACATTAAAAGAACTGAAATTTGACTACAATAAGATCTCCAATGAAGGAGAGTCATATCTGAAAGAAACAATGCAGTTCACCCAGGTAAGACATTCGCTTTCGTTATTTCTCGCATATTGTACATTCTCTAATATTAAAGGTAGTCAAAATTAATTATTGGTATTAAAGCAATCGCTGATATCCAGGCAGAATATGAAGCTATGAAAATATCGCGATCGGTACTGTTTTATATTTTTACAATACTTAACTTTTCTTCATAATTATTTAATGTATGATGATTTTATTGCCCATGTTTCAATCAAATGTCTCTTTTTACATATTTAAATACACGTTTTAATAAGTACGGCTTTCGTTTTTCTTGAGGGTGGGTGTGGATGAGGGTGTCGATGTCTGTGATGGTTAATGTTAATGATATATCAGAAGGAGGTGAATCCTAATGATCAAAAGAAGATTAAGATAAGTTTAGGAGACATATCTTTTATTGCGAAATCTGTGGCTACATATAGTTCACAAGAAGATGATAAAATAATTCAGGATAAATACAAAAAAAAGATGATGTAATGGATGAGGGTGGGTGTGGGTGTGAGTGGGCGTGGGTGGCTGTGGCTGCGACAATGAACAGAAAGAGTAGACATCCACACCCACACCCTCAATAATCACAGCTGCAAGACTGTTAAGACCAGAATGTATATTGTTGATAATGAACTAAGAAAGAAAAATTTCGGGTAAACTTGATATGTTACTTAATATCTCCGTCATAAAATAAGGAAATATTTGATCGATAGATGAAGCGGATATAACGATCAAATGCTGTATATGGAAAAAAGTGAAGAAGGAAACATCATGTAATCGGATGTTTGAAATTCCGAATGAAAAGTCGAAAGGTAGAAAGATGTATTCAACTTTTACTTGATCAACGAAGAGCAAACTTTTTGGTTTGACAGCTTTTTTTCCGAAAGTAGTAGTAGTAGTAGTTTTTTATGTGGTTTTATATTTAGTCACCTTTCAGTATTGAGTTAAGCAAGATCCAACGTATCGACGCGCTATCTCTGTTAAAAATAACTATTTTAAAGCTTTTGATTAACGTTTACTTCTGAGAAAGAAACAATATCTCTTTGAAAGAAAGCATTTTAACAGTTCTTCGTGTTTCATTGGTATACTGTCGATAAGATAAATTTTTATAATTTTACTTTGAATTTTTTTATTTCATCATAGATACCTAAAGCATTGGATGATGAATGTTTTGAAAAAAAAAATTTTAAACAAGGAAAAACTAAAGGAGATATTTTCAAAATATTGTGATTGCCATTTATTCTGCCCAATCCATTATATTTGACAGTCCAGAAACCGAGATGAATATTATGTAAGAATTATGATTAGATATTTGCTAACTAAATGATAAAAATTTTCGTGAAACAGTTCAATTAAAATGACGAATTCTTAATGAATTTTGTATGTAGTAAACCAATATTTTAGTTCATCTTTATTTTGAAATGTGTGCTCCATTGGTCCAGTTTTTTCTTCACGCATCGCTACGCCTGTGCCAGGTCTTCCTTTTGGTACAGCATCACACCAAGCATGCCCTGCCTGTTTAGACTTTCCTTTAATATGAATTTCAAATCCAATATGCTTTTTTTGATTACTTCCAGATGGAGGCGTGTCAGCATCAATTGTGAACCGAACTTTCCATTCATGTCCTTCTTTAAATAATTGAGTACCTTTGTTGATTGTTCCTTCAAATTCTGCATCGATCTGTACCGTCCCATCTTTAATGTTTTCATAGAATGTACGGAATGGAGATCCTTGGTTTTCTAATAGATCAATGATGAAATTCTTAGATGCTTTTGTCATTGTTTCTTCACCGAATTTATTTAGGTAGTCTTTCAATTTTTCAATTGCAAAATCATTAGCTGCCTTCAAATCTGTGGTTTGCCGATCATAATCACCAGACATCTTGGTTCGATATAAAACAACTTCAACAGCGTTGATCTACAAAGAAAAGAATGAAACTCAATAGATTAGCACTTCAGATTTAATCTTCCAACAAAATATTTCGAATCAGATGAATGAATTATCTAATGTATATAGAGTGAGTAAACAATGCATCATATTTTTAAAGTAGCTGTAAAGTCAAAATGATTTTTTGTGTGTCTAGGCTGCTATATGCATGTCTTTATATTATGCTTTCTGTTTTCGTTATTATCCATGTTAAAGGGAATGTTTCGTTATTTTGTGCTGTTCTGTGGGTTTTTTCTATCTTATCAGTTGTAATTACTCATTCTAAAGATTGAGTGATACACTTGATATTCAGAGATTTTAAAAGTTTGCAGTATAGATGTCAGAAAAAATCATATGAAAATTTACTGTTTATCATTTTTGTCAATTGATATCCAAGATTTGTTTTCACATTACAAGAAGCTCATCCTGACAGTTCTTGTTCGAATACAATGTATGTAACAGAAAGTTGTTTTGAAATTTATCAACTGAATTAGTGCTCCTATGGTAACCAGTCATATCCATAGAATGCTTCAGATCTTTCTCCTACTTTGTGGGTGTGGGTGTGGATATTTATCTCATCTATCACCCACACCTCAAAATAAAAAGAATTCTTTGAAAAGCTTTTATGATCTTTTTATTCCTGATCCAGTCTAACATAATTTCATGAATATAGAGTTAAATCTTTTATGAAGTATGAAATTCATTGAAACAATCAGTAATATGCAGGGTGTGAGTGTAAATGTGTGTAAGAGTTCTTTTGTCTTCTTTCATCCACACCCACACCCACACCCATCCTGTCAAAAATACACTAGTTTTATAAAGCAAAAACTTGTGTAGATGTTTTTACGTACTTATAGTTGATTGAAACTATTCGTATCGCTCTGAAGTAATTTTTTCCCTGAAAGTGAACATCTTACGAGTCTCTTTGGTAAACAATACTTTTTTTCTTCTCGACGCGAGAACGAGAAAAAGAGAAAAAAACTTATTAATCGATTCAAAGCGTGCATTTCATATTTTTTATTTTAATAAGTATTAAAAAGTTGCACTGTAGTTGACAACCTAGGTTTTCATCTTTCCTCTACAACATAGCCACTGATAATTCAACATCAGCCGATACCCCAATCCAACCAAAATGGTACTGGCAGTTCAATGAATCAGAAGTAGTTTTGAAAGTCGATCGTCATACTGGAGGGTATATGCGAATTTTCGATGACAATCCTCCACAAGGGTGGTAACCGTATTCAAAAGAAGTCAATGAGTTGCTTGAACGTGCTTTGTCTTTCATGGAGAAATCTCAGAAATCTGAAGAAGGATGTCCACTACGAATCGGACTATTCTTACCAATGATTAATGGAAAGCTTGATTATAGCTGGAGTGATATGGCCATTGATTTTTGCAATGGTATTGTGATGATTGACGGCAACAACTATATCAATATCAATGAAATGAAACAATTTAATGACTATGATGTTACAAAATGCAGACAAGTAAAACATGAACGTAAGATTATTCTTTAATACAAAAACAAATGAAAGACTGAAAAAAAGTTTAAAATGGTGCCTTTTTATACGACTACCACTTTTATGTTCATATCATTATGCATGCACTTAGACAATAGTTTGAGTCCGGCATTATTTTTATATAGTAAATATCTTTCTAATTTCAAATCAACGTTTATTCTGCAAAAGATATTACGGGATGTATAATTCAAAATAGTTTCCAAGTATTACAATCCTTAAGATACAACCCTACATCACATTCAATACGTTCATACGAAGTATTTTTCCTAGCCTTAAGTCTCCTCACAATATTAGCGCAGACATAACAACCGATTGTATTTTGTCCGTAGTGACATTCTTTGCCAAAAATACACTCTACTATATTTGTCAAATAATACGAAACATCTTTCTGTAATCGACAGCTCTATTTGAGAAGTATGATCAAACTGGATTATATTCTGACTGGTTAATTATATACTGATTGCCAAATATATTAAGGAGCAACCAGTAATCTCCACTATATATAGACATGTTTGACTGTACAAATAGCGTAAATGCAATTTTTGTTGTTATATAGTCAATAAATCATGTCTTTTAGAATTATTCAAGTCCCAAAATATCAGGACGTGAAATCACGTCGCCCGATCTCTAAGGGTTAAATAAAGTATTTTCATTTACTCTTCAGTTGATAAATATAAAATCTAAAAATCCAATGTTGTCTGTAGTTTATTTTTTTCAATTTAAATTCATATAATCTCAATCAATTGAATTCGAAAGACAATCGAAGTTTCAAGTTCATCGGAGACTCCATTGAAGAAGTTGACGTTCTTTATATGTCTGACTTCCTTGATTATATTGCAAAACATCATATTTGTCGAATAATATACTTGAATATCTTTTGAAAACCTGTTATTCGCCGTTGATAACAGTTTGATAGCGCAATCTCTTTGTAACTGACACATCTTCTTCAAGTTAGTTAAGCTAATCTAAAATACCTATTCAGTGAATAATATCTAATAAATGATCTCTCTTGTTTATAACTGAACTTCAAAGAGAAAATTTTATTTTCAGAATTCTCATTCCCTCCTTTCCCAAACATAAATATAAGACACAAGACTTTAAAAATAAGTGTGTCACTTACATTCACACCTATACTTTTTCTACAAATATAGAGATAAATTAATATCAAAATTTCTTTAAATGTATATTTGTGTCTTATTATAAGTTTTATTTTGAAATAAAACTTGTCTACGAGTCATTTCAGTGACATGTTGAATTATCAGGACAGAATAACACTATAAATGTAGCAATTTATTTCATTAGTTAGTAAAAAAAAACAAAATTTTAATTAATATGAAATTATTTTTTTATTGACTTTGACGCTGTTCATTTATAATAAACATATAATATTTCATTAGATTGAATCATTTTGACATACAAAACTTATAGAAATTAATATTTGATTATAGATTAGATTTGTAAATATGTCTAATTATTTTTTATTATGACAGTTATTCATTATTGATGTTGATGCTTTATAATATAATAATTACTTCTATTTGCTTAATTGA